CACCCTTACCGACCAGGTGCTCGTCGACGTCATAGATATCACGCACAATGGTGATACCTACCTCGCGGGGCACCGACAGGATACCGTCCCATCCCTGAGGCTGTCCCGTGGTGAAGTTGTTGTCCTCGGTGATCCAGCCGATCAGGACGTCCTTCCCGTCCTTGTCGGTGTAGATGCTGTTAGCGTACCAGTCACTACGGTCCGACACGCCCACCATCAGAGGCGTGAATAGTCCCGCCTCAGGATCGACCTCCACGCCGCAGCCACCACCAGAAAATGAACCTGTGGCCCACATCGGGTACCGGTTCGGGTCGCCCTCAGCGGCGAACAGCATCACATTGTGGAGCTCACCGTCCTCATCCGTCATCTCACGGTAAATGGTGGTCTCAAAGTTGAAACCCCAGCTTCCACTGTACTTGGAGAACGTCGTGTTCTTCTCCTGGGCGAGTAGGAAGCCCTTGTACTCCCAGTTGATGTAGTCTTCAGCGTGGTACAGGAAAATGCGGGGGCCGACGTCGTGGATACCTCCAGCCACCAACAGGTAGTTGCTGCCGTTTGAGGCGTCATGACCAAAGTGGGCGTCAAGTGACTTCGAGTGGACCGGCATCGGGTCACGCCAGCCGGTCACGTTAAGACCCTGCGGCGGCAGCTCGATCAAAGGCTCGCTGCCCTTCTGCCAGGTCTTTCCGCCATCGTCCGTGGTAGCGTACACGACATGCTCACCAAAGAGATACTCCTTCTTCCACGAAATGGGGAGAGCAGTGACACCCGTGTAGAAGACGGTGTGCTTACCGTCGATAGCATTGTTCATGGCGAAACCCGAGAACACACCAAGGTTGTCCCACTTGTCCTCGAACGGGTGGAGCGCATCTGGGTAATCCTCCCAAGTCACCTGGTCTTTTGACACGGCGTGGCCCCAGGTCATGTTGCCCCAGATCGTTGAATTCGGGTTGAGCTGGTAGAACATGTGATACAGACCGGTGGCCTCGTCATAGTACGGCGCGCACGGATCGTTCATCCACTTTTCGCGAGCTTGGAAGTGGTAAACCGGACGGAACTGCTCGAAAAGCTCAGTTCCAGGAACAGCTTCCACGACATCGGCGCAGGCAGTCTCGGGGCTGAAGACCAGGGCAGCAACAAAAGCACCGAGGGCAAGGACGCTCGGGATCACCTTCATGGCTGGTTCGTAAAAACTGTCTGAAGATCGAGTGGTGTTGGATCTGCTTCGGCGCTGCGAAGTAAGTTGTGCAATGGACAGCGAGTCACGTGCAGTCTACCATTGTTGGACTGGCACTGCGGGTTGGCCCCGGCTCGTGGTGCTCCGCTGTGTCTGTACTTGAAGTTGGGACGGAATTAACAATGCGTTTCCCTTGACGAGGTCGTTTTTGAGTCCGCTTTGCGCGTCTTCTGCACGAATGTGCAACGTGTCGAACTTGATTTACTTCAGATTTCAATGATTTGGCTGAGACGTTCGAAAACCTCTGATATCGTATATCCAAACAACGCAGTTATAGTTTTCCTTACACATGGTTGTTAGAGAACCTGTTTGATTCTGTTATCCCTGATATCTGTAGTGCTTATACAGGTCAATCTGACACACATCCGAGCGGTTAAGTTCAAGTTGCGTGACCGACCAAGCAGCCATGCTCCGACAGCTGTCCTGGCAGAGGCACCGCAAGCTCGTCGAAACAAACCTTTGGTTATACCTTAGCAGGACGTCATCAAAAGAGACAAACTTGTTCGCGCCAGGACTTCACCGCCGTAGCGCGCTCCACAAGTATAGCAGATATCGGCACAGGGCGAGCTCCATATCTCGAGGATGCGAGCATTAGGCGTGCACGAGTGCATTTAAGCAGAAACGAAGCCCCCCATGCAAAGCAGCTAGATCACTCAAGAGCCGGCAAGAAACTCGACCATACGACCGAACCTCTGGGACGAGTAGAAAAACGGAGCGTTTTGATTGCATGTACCGGTGCTTGTGCCGGGCATTGCCAGATTTCGTCAAGCGCGCTGATAAAACTGTGAACTTTGAGGTATTTCATCGTTGCCAAGTGAAATGCATTAAGAGCATTACAGTCTGTTACTTCTAACAACTACGAATATGCCCGGCCATCAGGCGTTTTATAAGAGGTATTCAAAAACGCAGCTTCGAAACCGGATTTAAGCTTGAATGCAGCTCCAGCACCGGTGCTGGCAATATACCGTACTGGACACGGAACCAGGATTTTGGGTCTTTCAACTGTGGCGTGGATGAGTCGCATAGCCCGCTTTGTAGATCCGACCCTTCCTCCAACATGCATTTTGTAAACCGACAACATAACATGACCGCATCGATTCCTTACAACGCTTATTAAGGTCTGATGCGGAAAAAAGATTTTGGTTTTAATGATAAAAAACAATAATCTGAATTGTAGTTGCGATATAATTGTTTTGCTTGCTGATTGAATGCTTGAAAACTACAGAGCGGTTTTACCATTAAACGGGCTCAAATTGTTTTATTAACATCGAATTATTGAATTACGCTGCAACCCCAGAACGTTGCTTTATAGTCTGGTGTCTTCCAGAGCAACGCAGCTAACCATACACTACTGTTTCGGTCGCGGTTTCCAATTTCTATACTGCTCATGGCGGGACAAATTACTGCCTTACTGGTACTGTTGAAGATACTACTAGTGTTGTCAATTATGTTTGAATCTATACTACTCTTGTCAAATCCCCAACACTTCACTCCAGTGGAGTATGAAGGAGGTCTTACTCCAAGGAGTCAATTTTCTTGAGCTTCGTTACCCCGATTGGCAGTTCGTTCTAAATTATATTTTATTATCCAGTCGCTGAGCACATCCAACTGTTGTCCACGATTGTCTGGAGGAAAGATGTCTGACGAAAACGTTTAGGAATAACGATACAAAATATATATTCTGTATCGTAATTTTCACGAAATATGTTTCAGTGATTTTTTGTAATTTTCACTGGAATACCACAGAGTAATCTATTCGTCATTTATTCGGATTTTATCCAGATATTCACATTTTTCAAGCTTGGCATTTATTTTTAATTTAGACTTTTAGTGATCATCGCCAATTGCGAGCAAGACGAGCTCTGGCGTTCTTCCACCAACTAACGTTCTTTACTGTTGGTAGCGGTAACATTTCCACACTCCAGCTTTGCGTTAGCGGAGCGGGCAAAAAATAAAGAAAGTGAATGATAAAATCCTGGATGTACCAACGCTATTCGTTTGGTTCTTTTTCAGTGAGCTACATTGTGGTCATTTACGGCTATCTAACGACTACCTATGTCCCGGGGATGCAGACGTCTCTTGCCCATCTGCATCTTCCAGCGCCAGGCCGAAACCTCAGACACTGGAGCCCCTATCCTTGCTTACATGGTGACGGCCGCGGTCTCCGAAGGAGCCAGTGTCCAACATCCACTGCTGTGTGAGCAAGCACGCCTCCAGGAGACCAACGATATTGATACTAGCGAAGAAAGCATTGACTGAAGTGGGTGTTATTCATGGCGGCATAACCATTTTCACTAGAAGCATTTAGGATTTTTTTTTTCAAATTGGAGATTTCGGCCCAAAGTTTTGCTGTGATAAATATTCCGGCTTGAAATAAATAACTACTCAAAAATTATGGTAAAAATACGTAATTGTAGAAATATGAGATATCACACTGTGAAAACCCAACACTTCAGAATCGAGCTTCGATAAGGCAAACCTCCAGCGATACCAGGACTCTTTAGTTACTAAAACATAAATGAACCACCATGATTTCAACGACCCCTCGAATTTGCTTTAAAACCCGAAACTTTCATTGGTCTGGCTACGCTTGCATCTCCGTCAACCTACTTACCGTATTCGTTTGTAGGACTCCTCTCTGGATACTTGTAGGAAGCACGATAGCATGTCTTGATGCCC